GAAACATACTGCTCGGAGGGACTCGTATCAGCCCCCCTCCCCAAGAGGGAACACTTCCCCTACCAGATGTCTTTCGTAACGATCTACAACGCCTTGTCCGGGAAGAGTTCCCCCTGAAGAAAAATAATCGCTTCCACACTCAACATAACATCCATGAATCCTCTCCTTTAGTGGATGCGATCCTCCAAAACCCCATCCCAATAGGCTTTAAGCTTCCGAACATCGACACACATAAAAGGAAAACTGACCTTTACGAAAATATTGATCATTATCGAACCATCATGCACATTCAGCGTGCATTTGATGCGCTTATGTGTCAAGTGTTCTTGGCTACTCTTAAAGGACAAACTCGAAGCTGGTTCTACTCTCTATCAGAGGGCACTGTAAACACATTTAATGAGTTGGCCAGACTATTCGCGGAGCTGTTAATCGCAAATCGACGAATGGTCAAGAATTCATCCCATCTCTCGAAAATTCGCCAAAGTGAAGAGTCACTCAAGGAATACTTCCGCGGGTTTTCTGCTGAAGCCATTCCAATTTTGAGAGTGGATCCAGAGTCACTAAGGGGAGTCTTCCTTGGGGGATCCGTCCGGGACCTTTCTATTCATCACTAATGCGAAAGACAGTTCGTCTTTATGTTGACCTTGTCCACCGTGTAGAGGCTCAAATCACTGCGGACGAGGCCACCAACGCACACAATGAACAGTTCGAGAAATTTGGGGAAAAACACAACAGTAACGTCCGAGATTGAAAGGTTAATTCAGTAGAGACATCTAGGTCGATTTATATAAAATAAACCAACTAATACTGATAATGCTCCTAATGTGGGGCAACATACACAAAGGCAACAACATGGGGGTCACCCAGTCATGGGCAAAATTCAGACAATTGCTGGAGGCTCATCGCTAACTGATCAAGTCCTTATCATTGTACCTGGTGAACCAATGCAGAAGAAATCACGCCTCGAGCCTATCAAATTCAATTGTTGCTTTTGGTCAATTCTCTACAAAAATCATCTCGAACAAGCTGAAGGTTTGGTTCACAGTTGAACTGAGTCAGGTTGGCATGTCTAACCTAATTTTTAAGACTATATTGTCGAGCATTAACATCCCTCTTTCTTCTATAGTTTGTTAAAATGAGAACATCTCATTTAAGGATAATAAGTTCTCTCTGCTAAAAATTTAAAACAAACTTGGTCGAGTTTATAATTTAATCTAGCAAAAAACATGAACACCCTTTTTGTTTTGAGAACTACAACATTATCACTACACAATCTTGAGATCTCAGTAGTTATGTAGTTCTAGCAAGACCTTCATCACATTAAACTATTTAATAATAGATGGATTATCTTGCATATAGAAGGTTACATCTTGATCCCATAGATAACAGCAGTTTCTTTATCTAAAGTTTGTTTGGCATCTTCCTAAACATCTTTTGCAGTTGTTAGGAACATATAATCCACTGATTCTAAACATCAGGTTGTTTCACAACCATGGCATGCTCATGAAATATGTTTCATCCCAAATTGCGAACTTCGGATATTTCAAATCTGGATAAGGATATAAGGATCAACAAGATGAGGAATTTTTACCTTCCACTTATTTCAAGTATTATGGGGTTCAATAACTAGACATGCTCATCAAATCTACTTCATCCTAAAGTGGAAACTTTGGAATTTTCAAGATTGAAGGAGGGACCAATAAGATGATGAATTTTGCCTTTTCAATCAAAAAGGTTCTTACACTTTAAGACAACTTTAAATATTTTCTTTCATTCAAATGATACAAGGTTCGTAGCATCTTGGGTTTTCATTTAGCCTAATTTTCACAAATCAAGACAATTGATTGGTTGGACGAAAAGTCAATAAAAAAATGATCAAGAGAAAATGAAAGGCACACAAAAAGTTGGAAATTGGACGTTAACCTTGCTATGATATCATATAGAAAAGAAATAAATAGAAAGCTTGGTTTGTTCATTTATCCAATAAAAATTTATACAAAAAAATACCTAAAAAATAATAATAAACAAACCTACCACGAAAATAAATGAAAGCAATTAATTACAAAGATTTAAAAAAAAAACTAGTGTCCAAGACTTCACAACTTAACTGGTGGTAAAAGAGAGATATATACACTTGGAGCTCCCTTTTTTTATGTTAAGCATAAATACGTAGCACTCCTTTTATTCATATTAAGCACAAATCTGTGAGACATGTAAATCTATAAAAAAATATTTTTCCTTATTTAACGCGTGAATTTGTTGTTCCTTTCATTCTTTGTTTAGTAACCTAATACTTAACAGCAGAAAACAAATCCTCCATAACTATTGCATACCTATCTTATCACCAATATATCATGATAATGTTACTTCAGAAAGAAGCAAGCCCGCCAGCAATTTTGCACATAAAAATTTCAAAAAGATGGGATCGCTGGCATGCAACAAATCAATAATATTGACAAACTGCTCGGATCTTCACTCAAACAAAATCCCAACAATTGCTTTGCATTATCAGATAAATCAATTGACCACCAACGAAGCTTTTAATAATCATGAAACATACATAAAAGACATAAAAGACCTTTAAATCAATTGACCACCAACAAACTCCTCTGTAAATGTCTAATTTTCTATTCTGCAAGTTCCTTTTTTTTTCTCACGTCCATTATTTCATCTTTCAATTGTAACTGCTCCAACGGTGAAAATGTTGAAGTTTGGGGGGAGATAGAGACAAACTGCATATGCCTACCACGGGCAATCGAGGGAGCAGACCGATCCTTCACAGGATAGTAGTTTTGAAAGGACAGATTTTGGGTGGATGAATTGTAAATTTTAAAGTTAGGTCGGTGATGATATTATGGTTAAGGTTTTGGGTGGTATGCATGTAAAAATCCCTTTTCCTCTTCATTTTTTGCAATTGCCCTTTCTTATATTTAAACCTAAAGTAATAAATTTATTTGATGGAGAAATTTATCTTGATTTTATAATTTTTTTAGAAAAAATTATTTCTTTTCTTTAATTCCTTTTTTTTATTTTTGATTGCAACATTTGCTTGGTAAAGATACTGATTTTATTGAGTTTTAGCTTTTATTGTAAATGATTTTTTGATAATATCTTTGATAGTTTATTTCTGCATAAGAAAAAGGTAATGAATCAACTAAGCTCAACAAATGTTAGATTGATTCCTTAGATAATTTCTAATACTCCTACAAATACTTTATGAATGAAATGGAAATAGAAGAGTAGTGTAAATAGATGGAGGAGATGAGCATAGTTTGTGCACTAATGTCCTCTAATTTATAATATCCCATGTACACGTCATGCTTTGTGAATATATTCTCCTTCTCCACAACAACTAAATCTCGGTATTCTTCCACCGTTCCAAAGTATCTGCTATTATATTTGATATTTGATATTTTAACTACTCCAGGAATAATAAATTATGCACTAGCTCTCTTTAAATTCCAGGATGATAAATCTACATGTTGGTTAGATTTGGATGGAATTCTGTAAGGAACTAACAACCAAGCATTCTAGGTAAGGATCAATTTCATAATTACATTTTGTTTTCTTATATTTCAATTTTCTTGTTATCAGTTTAAAGCAATCATAGGTTTAGATGAATATCTATCTAAAATGCTACTTCACAGCAATATCTTGCTTAATTTATTTTAAGAGAGATTTTATTGAGAACGTATTTTCCAAATTTTGAACTTTTCAATCAAAGCCTCCTAATTGTAGGAACAAGTTTAATATAAAATGCTCTTAACACTCCACGCCCTCCATATTCAAAACTAATAAATAAGAAGTTGAGGTCGTTTCGCTAATAGGCCTGTTATAAGAAAATAAAATGTTTTGGTGCATGACGCCACGGTACCTAACACTGCTTTTGAGCTTTGTTGATGACAATAAATATAATTGAAATTAATTTCCATTATAAGAAAAGAAAATTAGTAGCTAAAACTGTGAAAGTTTTTAACTCAACTAATAAGAGTTTCATATCAATAAATAAATTAATTCGGAGTTAAAAAAAAAGGTATTGAATCATAATTAATATCATCCGATCAATGTTACTGGTCTTCAAAGTGCTGTCACTCAGGTCAGGATTCTTTAACATTGTACTGTCATTCTATGAGAAATTTTGAATTTAGATATACTTGAGATAAATTTGATCAGGATTGGGCTTCATAGTCATCAAATTAGCCTTTCCGTGAGTATGAAATAAGTTTTGATTGATTAGTCATATATTAGAGTAATATCAAAATAAATATGATGCCTATAAAGCTCACTGTAACCCTAATCCAGTATTTTTCGAACATTTTTCATTCCAGATGACCAAATGGAATTGCATATTACTAATAATGAAAAATTACAATAAAATCATTTTTCTCATGTCTCCAATGCCGTTGCAAAAGATGTACAAGGTGAATTAATTGAGCTATATTGTTGGATAATATTTCTGTACTATTGATTTGGTATCAACATGACTAGTATAGGGATACTATGCTTCAAAAGAACTAGTTTTAAAAAACTCAATTTCAATATAAAACCTAATATCAAATTTATTAAATGGATTTTTACATGCTTTGGCATATGACAAATAGCTGAAAAAAAACGATGCTGCAGATGCTACTGGACCAGTAAGAAAAGGCCAAATAAAAAAAAATAAAAAAAGTAAACTTACATAACTAGCACACAATTATTTTGTATTTACATATCTCACATCTAAACTTCCATATTTACATACATAGCACTTTGGTGCTTTAAACCATGCATGAAGCTGTATTAGTACTATTTTTTATGTGATATTAAAGATTCGAGCGCTATGTGTCTAAATATGAAAGATTTGATCGCTAAGTGAGATATTTAAATACATAGGAATTATGTGTTATGTATCTAAATGCCCCAAAACAAACAAGAGGTGTTACATAATTCATACTCCATTGAAGCCAATTATTAAAAAGGACTATGTAAGTTAATAAAAAAAAATCAAATGGATGCACCTGTGCATACGAGTAGCTCTGCAGGTCGATAAAAATTTCACCGCATGAATCCCTACATTCAACTGTGTAAAATGCAATTCGCTTTTTCCGTTGTCGACATTTGTTGTTAATTACTTTCTGTAAGACATGATCCAGAAAAAAATTATGTGAGCAGAATATTAGGTAGTAGTTATGCAGCATAACGAAACCAGAACGGTAAAGCTAAACTTGACACTTTGCACAACCATGCGCTAATATCTCTGTTCTCATTACAACGTACCTTATCTTTAAGAGAGCAGCAGCTAATAACTAAAACATCAAACTTGTCAAAGAAAGCTCCGTCAAAATGATGTAAATCACCTGGGAAAAAGAATGTGACCATTAAAAAAAAATTAATTTTAACTAGAAATCATTACTAGGGATAAAGTGCACCTCCGCTCAGTTAAGAAATAACGAAGCTTCAGAAAATCCTTAAATGTGAGGTTCAATTCTGATCATCCATATGACCCTAAAAATACTAAAGTATAACAACTTGACAAATTTTTAATGTCTAAAATTCTAAGCTTGGAAATTATTTTAAAAGTGAGCTTGGCCCAGTTCTAGTCAAGCTTCTACAAGTACCAAAGCCCCGCATTCTTGCACCCATCAAACATAAAAATGCGTAAACAGGACCCAATGATTGGATCTAATTTTGACTAGTTTCTTCATTGCATGTAAGGAAGCGCAAACAGTAATCTACATTTGCTCTTATATTTACATTTTTAGAGGAAGTGGATGAGGAAATGAAATAAAACATTTAAAATATTAAATATTAAAAAAAAAAAAACCAAATTTAAGGCATTGATATGCATATTATACGCTAATCAAAAACCATTTGAAGATTTATGTATCCCATACAAACTTCAAGCGATAGAAGTTACATCATCACATATAAACACACATAATTACAGTAATAACCAAAAATAAAATCTAAAAAGAATATAATTCTAGAGAGTTAATGTCGATTCTAAACGTTTCGACAATTTTTTCATGAAGAGACGAGTGTCCCTTTCAAAGCAAAGCGAAGAAGCAAACCAGACTGAGAGAACTAGAATGGGAGTCGGAGAAGGAAGAAGAAGAACAAAGATGAATAAAAAAGAAGAAGAAGAAGAGGTCGGGTGAAGGTATCTTGCGAGCGGGTAGTAACGGAACGTCTTTACAAAATCAAAGAGCTTCAATTATCAGGAGATAGAAGCCAAGCAAGATCAAAGAAAACGAAGGACGTGATGTAGCGGCTCCGGCATCAAGGAGGGAGAGGAGGAGGACACCGCATGTTGGCTTTCTACGGGAGGAAGCATCTTCAAGCAGTCAATGTTGACAAAGTGTTAGGGCAGAGATGATTGGCTTTGGAGCAGAAGAAGAGGAAGCATAAGGAGAATTGGGTGGGAGACGCGAGCAAGAGCGACGTCACTTGCGGGAAGAAGCTGTGTGTATAGGTTCAAGCAGTAGAAGAGGAGATATGGGTGTGAGCAGTGCCTCTATCTATGAAAGAGAGGATGCGAAGTAGGAGTGCGAGAGAAGGTTGACGTGTGTGGCTCCTGTACGAAGGAAGACAACGTCGTTCTCGTAGTGAAGGTGATCATTCCCAAGTGAGGGAGGCTTGATTTGTCTTCGGTGCAAAGGAAGAGGTGGAGCAGTAACAGGAAAAACAAATTTCAGGTGTGGAAATGGAAAAGAACCAAACTAAGTCGATGTAAGTATGTGTTAGGGCTGTTTACTGTAATATTTATATATATTTAGAATGTATTAAGAGTTAAGTTAATTGAGAAGAGTTTGGGCTCGTTTAGGCTCATAAAGAATAAGTGCAAGCAAGTCAGTAGATTCAAAGAATTTGTCCGGGTAAAGCTTTAGTTAAGAGTTATTATACTTTTAAATAAATTTATGTTGAATAAATAAATTAAACTGTATTGATAATTTAGTTATATAATAAAGCATAAATTAAGTAGTGAGATTTAAATAGATATATATTAGTATCAAATTTCATAAAATATTATAAATTAAAAATATTCAATTATAAATAAAGATAAATCAATCAGTTAATTTAACAATAATAATATTTTGAATTGATGATAGATATTTTATTGTAGAAGAAATTCAAAACCTAGAAGTTAGCAAAACCTTCCGAAAGCAAGGTAAGTGTTCTTACTTTTAGGCTATGGTAACTTTTTGTTTCTTCTAAATAGAATTCATTGATTGTTATTAAAACATAACTTTATCGTTTTGTTTTGATTTATATGCTTTTTTAGATGTTGGTCATATCATTGTGATGAATACATATTTTAAAAATACTAATATTATGCATATTTAAAAGTTGAATTGAATGAAAAAACATATGAATGATACGAATTGCATAGACTAATTGTTAAATTCAACTCTTTCTAGTACTAGCACGAGAAAGCTAAGATACCCACGCACAATAAATAGAAAAGAATACTGATATTTATGTGTCATAAATGATTCAAACAGTGTTTATGTGATGGTTGTAATATATAGTATAAAATAAAAAGGGATTTGAAATATCTTGATCAATCATATTCATATAGATAAATACAAATTTATTAAAAGCTTAACTAACATGCATATTATTCATTTTTCGTTCCGTTACTATATTTTAGAAGTAGGTTTGACTTTAAAGCTCAATGTTGTTTTAGACTAACATTACAGATTTAATCATTTGATAAAAAATGAGGAATATGAAAGAAAATGTATAAAAAATATGTGAACAAACTAAAGCTAATGTAAAAATTTAATTGTACTATTTTAATTTATTTTCTTTAATGACTCTTTTATTTTATTAAATTATAAAGTGTCGATGATAAAAAAATAAATAATAAAATAACATAATTATCATCGTCTGACTATATGTTCCCGTCTTGACTAATTCTAAGCCTCAGACAATTACCAGACACTCAATCGTTGAATAACACTTTCTCAAGACCCATACATTTTAGCTCTACCACAATTAAGACATGGAATTTTTTAAAAAGGTGAATTTTTGCTTTTTTTTCTTTTTTGGACGTTTTGATGGTATGCCAAATGTTAATAGTTGATTAACTCACCTATAGTTGGTCAATAATTAAAAAAATTAGGCGTGGTATGGGATTGGCTGTAGAATTTGGGTTTTGTATGTTAATAACCTAATGAACTGGACTGAAGATTAGTTTGCGAACAAAAAAAATATAGTGTAGTTAACAAGATGGCATGAAACATGGATCAACTAACATTCTGATAAAACGCAAACAGAAAAAAAATCCAAATTAGTGAATCAATAAACAGTGTACTAAAAAATAGTACAAACCTTTTTCAACTGAAACATGAACCATAGGATTGAATTCTCTCAAGGAATTACAGTAAACTTCAGCGAGGGAACTCCTTGAATGTTTAGCCTCCTCAGGAGTAAAAAAAAAGTTGGCATGAATGGCATCCTCATTAACCAAGCGATCATCCATCAGGGTCAAGCTTCCAATTCCGGCAAGAACAATGTTCTTGCAGAACTGAGAAAAGTGTAAAAAAAAGGAGCATTTACAGCTACTTGGAAGGAAAGAGATTAATTATGTATTATTTGAAAATTTTTAAACTTGAATCACATTCAGTGTTCTAAAAGCCATTTTCTTTGCTATCCTAATGAGGCAAATTTGTTTGGAAACAATCAAGGCAGGCATTTATCATGAAGGGTGTACGGCCCATAGGTCGGGTGATGTAAGGCATCTTAGGATCTACATACAGTTCAGTAATACAAATCTAAAATGAAATACATAAAAGACCACAAATAGCAATTTCTCAACTTCTAATTTACGTAAAGCTAGGTTATTTTTTATGTAAAATCAAAAACCACACTTTAAAAGTATCTCAAACCTGAAATTCTACAGTGAAGTTGAAAATAAATTAAAAATTATGAAAGGATTGAGCTTGCATCATAAAACAGAAACCATTATCTAACAAACTTGACAAAATCTAAATCATACCCCACAGCTAAATTAACAAACAATTTAGACTGAAATCACTCTAATTAAAAAAAAATGCAAGTTTCGTATTGGCAAAAAAAGATTTATCTCCCATAAATTGTCATCAAAACTTGTAAACTCTAAAAGATACCACATCTAACATTACACAAGAATTACAACAAAGCATAAATTGTACTCTAACTATTTAATGAACATTAAACATCACAAGAGCCTTATTTATGACCACCAACAACAACAACAAGCCTTTATCCCACTAAGTGGGGTCGGCTACATGAATCCTTTTCCTCCATTGCATCCTATTGTGTGTCATATTTATGGCCAAAAGAACCGAAAATAAACAATTTCTTGGAATCCCTCCAGATAAGTCTTCAACCTTAGTTTCAGCAAAAACACTAGTTTTCATTTCAAAAACATGTTTCTAGAAATGTTCATATTTCTGCTATATGAAAATATCACCAAAAAGGAAACTAGCTAAGAGTTCAACAGAATATCGAATACAATTAAACTAAGGAATTCAGTGATTGAGGTGAAGAGATTGTACTGAATTCAAACCAAATGATACAAGTATAACAGTAGAGAATAGCCTTGTTCTTGTAGGAACCACGATCAAAGGCATGTTACCGTCAAATTCAAAACTATAAAATTAAAAAAATAAAACATAAGAAAACCAAAACAACATCAATGCACGAGACTTGGGATTCCATTGAATAAAAATTAAAAAAAAATAATAATATTTGAACCATCCAAGTGTCACCACAAGCACAACGGAAGTGTCTTTGCAAACAGTTGGCAAAACATAAGTCTATAAGTTAAACTAATTCGTCGTTATCAAATAATTAAGTTTTAATCTATTATAGATAGCATTATCAATATTAAATAACTTGAATTAACATATTATTTTGCTTGACTTTAGCTCAAGTAAACTAATTTTCAGTGTAGTTAAAAACTAATTTTTTTTTTTATTTCACATCTATTATTTGATGTTTAAAATGTTTAGGCAACAAAATCAAAAGCAAAAAAAGTTTATTAATGTATTAGAAAATGAAAACAAGACATAGATGAAGGGTTTGTTCCTAAAATTGAATATGCAACAGCTCGACATGCACAACATGCAATTTCCATAAGAGGTGAAGACTCAAAAAGATAACAAAATTTTAGATCAAGCTACAAACTCAATATTTATTTTTGGGCATTTCTTATCCATTATTTTAGTTTTGAAAAATGCAGGCAACATAATCAATGGAAAACAAAGTTGTAAATGTATTAGAAAATAAAATAAAAATTTTATAAGAAGTTTGTTCCCAAAATTGAATTTGAAATATCTTAACTAGTGCCAACAAGTAATCTACAAAGGAAAATACTCAAAGTATGAGTAATTTAATGAATGAGGACTTGATGATTGCATAGTTAGTTATCCTATTTCATTTTGACATATGATTTTATATGTGTCAACTAAAATTTGGAATTATAATTTCAAGCACACTTTGTGCGGAGATGAACCATCTCTGGCTTGTCGGTTTTTTGTTAACTGCAACAAGCTTTGGAGTTGACCATTTTTTTATTCTATTTCTTTCTATTTGTTTGACCACAGCCATTATTTAGTCAGTCATGGGTAAAAATAGGAATGAAACATGTTGATAAGGGGAGATTTTCTTTTCGTAAATATAATTCGGATGAGTTTCAAAAATTTTTCTTTTCCAATATCTTGAGCATCTACGGTTCAGGTGGTGGATTGAGTTCAGCAAGCCCTTCAATTTGGTTTAACTAACTTGTAGACCTGTTACGGTGTCATTAGTTTCACACTGCTTCTTTCTGTATGCTGAATGTTTACAATTCAGTTGAGGACTGAGTGCGGCAAGCCTTTCAATTTGGCTGGACTGAATAGCAGGTCTATTCCAGTGTCATTTGGTATTAAAGCTCAGCAATACGCCGCCTCAGAGGAATAACTAGCAACCCTTTTTGTCAAAAAGATTCTAGTGGAGAAAAACAACTCATGCATCTCGTCCTAAAGCAATTGTCGAACTGCAGAATTCAAGTTGACATTCCATATTTTGAATGAATGATGAACCCCAAAGAGTACTGGCTAATAAATGACAAAAGAATTCTTGAATATAAAAAGATAATGCAAGAATGTGCAGCAAAGTTGGTGGCGATGGAGTTAAAGTAAAAATGTGTCTCTATAGTGCAAAATTTTGAACATAACTTAACAATGGGAAGGTTGAAGTAAAACCACTTATTGAGCCAAGATGAGAAAGAATCAATAACAAAAATTCTTGTCGGAGCATTATAGATAAGAAGTCTTTATGAAGCTTCATAGTCACTTACCTCAAGAACTCACAATGCAAGATAAGGCGGCTGAATTTGAACACACATTGCTTTATTCATTTGCAGGTTCTGACCAATTATTGTTAAAATAGTCCAATAACAATCATATTGGACTCTTCAAGATTTGGTAAAATCGGTTCCAGCGGTAATCTAAATAAACTCAAGCCTGAGTGCCTCCTAGAGACATTATAGCCATTTCTCAGGCTAACATCCCAATAGTTCTGATCGTTAGTCGGCAGAGAATGCCCCACATAACATAAATGTGTCCAAATGCAGGAGACTATACCCAAATCAAACTATCTATAAATGCTTCAAATGCCATGAATTTAAACAAACAGCATCAAATTATCCAAACTGGCAGGTCAATTCCTTTGTTGAAGAAAAGGCCCATAAGGAGGCCAAAGACAACGAGGAAGATGCCAAAGGAATGTCGGGGAGTACATACTTCTCGCCAATGATGGAGAATCTCTAGTTATCAGGAAGGCGCATCTTAAACGTTGAACATTATGTGGAAGATGAGTGACCCCGTCACCAAATCTTCCATATACGATGCATAATTCAAGGAGAAGTTTTTAATCTCATTATTGATAAGGGAAGTCACAAAAATATGTTGTCGGCAAACAAGGTGGAGAGATTCAAATTGTTTTTGGGAAGCAAAATTTGAATTTGATTAATTTATAACCAAACCGCACCGCAATAAGCACACTGATTCGAGAGGTCCGGAACAAAAATTGAATAGAAGCGCACCGCACAAGAAATTTAGAAAAAGATACAAGATTTAACAGGAAAAAACCCAAGCATGAGAAAAACCAGTGGAGCAGCACTACACCAAAAATACCATTACAAAAATGAGGAATTTACAGAATTACACCACACTCACATTTCCTCTCTACACTCCTAGAACTTACAACAATTCAGGGTGCTCCTTCCTCTCTTGGTCGCACAAGATAATTCACTAAAATCCACCCTCGACTCGCAAACACCACTCCACACAGAACGCAACTGGTTAGTCACAGTGTTGAAATTATTCAAGTGTCCAGCCACTAAACTACCTTCCACCATCTTTATGTTGAATAATTTCTTTATCAAAAAAATTTAATTTGGCATTGAAGGTTTCTCATGCATCCTTGTCAGCATCACCATGAGATCCACCGTAGTTTTCTCATTCACTATGTTAAAAGTAACAGATAAGAAAAAAGACGAATCAAACTTAGGGTTAGTCGATCAATCACTTCTCATTCTTCCAGAGTCATCTATTTAGGCTTCTTAGTGATTTCTTTCAGTGGCAAATTATATTTTTTGATATAGCAAATCTTCAAGTTGTATTTTCCAGAATGCAAAGTTTGAACCGTTGAACTTCTCCATCTTGTATATCGCTTCATCGGTCATTGTTCCCACTCAAATCAAAAGATTTTTAGAAAAAACTCACTCTAATACCACTTGTTAGAATAGAAAAATCAAATTTGATCGATTCATAACCAAAACACAGCGTAAAAAGCACATTGATTTGAGAACAAAAATTGAACAGAAGCATACAACACAAGAAATTCAGAAAAGCGTATAAAATTTAACACATAAAAAATCAGAGAACATTAAAAAACAACGGAGCCACACCACGCCAAAAATATCAATATGAAAATGAAGAATGTGCAAAATTACACCACTCACAGTTTCTTTCTACACTTCTGGATCTTACAACAATTATGGACACTCCTTCATTTCTTGGTTACACATCAAGTCAATGAGTAAATTGCAAAAGGATTTTTTTGTGTCAAATAAAGGTGGCAGGTGCCATATGTACATTGATAGCTGAGCAATGAATAAAATAATGATCACATACTAAGGTAGCACCAACATGATCAAATTTGACTGACTTGAGAAAGCAGGCTAACCTACCGTAGAGGTTGAGATCTGTACAAGAGGCTCACTTGAAGCCGTACACGATTGGACCAATAGAAAGAATGACTAGGGAAAACTTAACGTGCCTAATTGGACCGCTAAGTTATTCCAAGATGATGCTAATTCAAATTAGAATGTTGAGATTAGCAAACAAGTTCAAAAAGTGGCAAGTGAAAAAAGTACTCCTAGGTGAGGAACCCTTAGAGTTTGGTTGTAGTGTGTTGTGATTCAACCCTAAGATGAGTTATCAAGTTGGGAAGATCTCCAGAAGTAAACAAAGTGATTTTTCTAAGGGTTTTGATCTTGTAAGTTATTTTTCATGTGCAACTAGGTGCAAAAAAAAATGATTACGCTTCCCTCATTTCGAACCCTATCGGGTAGAGGCATTTGAAATGTCAGACTAAGCGGTTATTCTTCAATAAAAAATTTCAACCAATTTTTTCTCAACCAAAAATTTCATGATAGGGAATCCAAACAATAAAAAATGTTTTGTAATGAGTGTCATACAGATTAGACACGTATGAGGACCTTTTCAATGCGACACGGGTTAGAAGAGACCTTCAAGATGTTTAAAACTTACAAACTCCAAGACAAAATAAAAATTATTTGAAATGAGTTTTACTGTTCCCCAATATCTTACTCTTCACAAAAGTAAATGAAGCAAAGGGGTGAGTCATACAACACAATGGAAATTAACCGAATAAAAAGGTAGAACAATTTCTTTGGGTTCAATAGGTTGTATTCAAATGCAAACAAAAATTTAGCTCACCGCATTTAAGGCAGAATTTTTACTTAAATTTTAGTTCTCATCACTTTTCTAACCTCTTTTCTAGTCCATTTCTTGGCTTTAAGCTTTTGCATTAGTCATTCTTTTTATTTAGAAGTTGTTCATATAGAATATAAGAAACTTTAGCCCTTCTTCGAATTTAAAGAGAGATTCTCTCATTCATTCTTTGAATGAGTTCAAATTTTGAATTCCTTATATGGTAATTGGTACCATTCTCTGCAATGAAAATTAAAGAACTATAAGTTCCAAATTTTAGCTTTCAAACTTTTTCTCCCCACCTCCTCATCCCTCTCTATTTCCATCTATATGTCCACCAACTATAAAGGAGCGGACCAAAGTGTATGAAGCTAAAGAGAGACATAACATAGGAGGATCTTTAATAGACTCTTTGGGTGATGGAAGCCGATTAAAGAAAAAGGTAGGCTGATCCTTTTGGGCTCATCAAGTTGGGTCCAAATGCTGACCTAAGTTTAGGTCAGCCAATGTAATGCTGAATTTTTAGTTGAAATATAGTTCTTATCACTTTTCTTAACTCTTTTCTTGTCAATTTATGGCTTTAAGCTAGTCAATCCTATTATTTAGGAGTTGGTCGCAGAATATCAAAAACTTGCCTTTACTCTTTTTTATTTTTTTATTTTAAGGAAATATTCTCTAATAAATTATTGAAATTAGTAATTGTTTGAATTTCTTTTTATATTATAAATAGGACCACTTGTTGCAATGAAAAGCAGACAAATATAAGTTCCAAAGTAGAGATTTCAGATTTTTCTCCCCGCCTCATCTCTCTCTTCCTCCATCTCTATGTCCACCAACTATATAGGAACAGGCAAAACCGTCTCATTCCGCATTGTTTTAAACCATTAAAACTAGAGAAAGTTGCTAAGCAACCAGACCATGCTTTAGAATATTCAGAATAGCTAAAATCTATACAGGACAATGAATTTACTGACTCGACAGCAAGCAGCAAGTCCCAACAACAGCGAGGGCGTATAAAGGAGAGAATCACCTACGGACTTGTCCACAATCCCCTATCACATCGCAATCACTAATAGCCCTTTCACATGGCGGGAAGGAGACATCAGTCTACATGGATGTTCTCACAGAACTAGCTAGCATCTGAATTGACAGTATATAGAGAAAACAAAAACAAACAATGGGATGGGGTACTAGTGAATGCAAAAGAAGTTAACTTATGATTCAGAGACTAACGCAGCCTAAATCCCTTCAAAATACTTTCATTTCATAGACGGTAGATAATAAGAAAGCTCAGCTTTGGGTATCCAAATTTGGGAACACTCAACAAAGAAAAGACAAAAACATGCAGATATAAGCGCAATAGGCAGCCTCAGCAAAATGAATTAAATATGTGGGAGGTGAATACCTCAGCAACCGTCCCATTCAGCCCACTAACCAGCACATTGGCCTTGCTTAGCCTAAAATTAACAAACGGCAGAAAAAGAGTTACATGAACATAGTTCGTACGTTCAAACAGAAGAGAAATCAGAAGAAATTTTCAAAAACAAAAGGTGAAAGAAGAAACAATTCACCGTTTCTGCGCATCGACGCCCCATACTCGAATCTGCCGATCGTATAGTGCCGTCTGTTGAGCAGTCAGCTCCTCTCCTTCCATCACAAGCCGAAGCCTGCCGCGCAGAAACAGAAGATAAAGGTCGGGCACGTTAAAACCCTAGTCTCGGGAACGAAAAAGAAGAGGGCTTGAAGATGAGGAGGGCACTATTCCAACGAGCTTTCCCCTGCTCTTTTCCCTCCGACTCCTTGATTCTACTCAGCCGACCGCCAACTGAAGAACGGCGCGATCCAGGCGACCGAATTATTATGTATTCATACTGACCACCCAATTTTTTATTTTTACATACATCATGTTTACATTAATAAAAATTTAATTTTTAATATCACACCAAAAATATTATTATTATTAAATACTTTTTTTTTAAGAGTGGAGTACACATTTTCATGCATAAACACATTACACCAATATATTATGCAAATAAAAAATAAAAATTTAAATATTAGATAGGTAAATGCATATAAATTATGTGGTAAATTTGCAAATTTCTCTTTTATAATTATGTGGATCTTGTGCTGTAATTGTTTTTTTATGAATCTTAATTTCTTGAAATGTTATTGAATTTTATTTCATCAAATCAATACGTAGAGGTGTACTGAGCCTATTCAAACTTCAACACCATCGGCTTGAGCTTGAGCTTGATTATTTTTATCATGTTCGAACTCGAGCCCGAGCTTAAGTCTATAAGTTCGAGCAGGCACACGAGCAAGTCTTTATAGTATAAAAGAGAGAAAATAATATTTATTTAAGGCAATGTTATAATAAAATGACAAAGAAAATGAGCATTTATAAGAGAAATAATAAGAAATCACTCAATATAAAATATAGAATATTATATTTTTATGTGGTGTTTGTTTGCAAACTTCAAAGGACTTGCAAAATCTGGACTTAAATCATAAAACATAAGGGAGCGAGAAAAAAAAAGACGGATTGTAAAAAAATTGATTTAACAAACGTTGGATATAAGTTTCATTTTATTTGATGTTTGGTAGGATATAATTTAAATCGATGGTTAAATCACGTAAATAGTATACTGCCAAAGACCATCTAAAACATGTTTAATACTTTAAAGATGATGCCTTCAAATTTAATATTTTAAACATATGTTATAGTAGTATTTATTTAAAGGAGCTAACTCAGAAGCTAACAAGTCTGAGTCGAGGTTAGCTTGAGCTTGGCTTGTTAGATCATGAAGCTCAGTTCACAAGCCACTTATCAAGCCAAGCTTGAGCCAGCTAATTAGTTGGCTTGACTCGCTTACACCTCTAATCATATATGAATCATTTTTTAATTAATTTCAATCTATTATGTAGTAATATTTATATCATGTTTTAAGTTCTAATTCTTTTTGATTCATATTCAAATCAAATGAAAAACTTGCTAAAACAATGTCCTAAAAATATTTTGAATATTATGGAACAATATTCAAATTAGACTTAATTAAGGTTCCCATATAATTTAAACTTGGCCTATTGATTGAAGCTTATTTATATTTGAATACTGATTGAAGCTTATTTAAATTTGATTATTGATTGAAGCTTATTTTAGCTGATGTTAGTCTAAATAAATACGATGTGGTCGGAATGTAGGATTTTTAATCCCAAATAAAATTTTTAATATTTTTTAAAGAAACAAATCATAGCCAACTTAAATGAATAAGAGTGGAGTTTAAGCCGAAAGTTTGACAAGTTTACTGAGCTAAGCAAATTTGTTGTTGCTGGATTATCGCATTCATCACAGCACCAAAATAGATTAGGGGTTGAGAAATTCATATAATTGTGTGCGTAATTTCACTAAGTTGTAGACTTCTAAATGATGTTGAGGACATATTTTCATTAAGACCATCTCACGATATTTGCATGAGAATTCTAAAAAGGATTTATGTGGTATGGGCATTTCAAATGTTAAGTTCATGTGGCAAGAAAATGTGCTTGGCTAGAAGCAATGATGATATATAAATCTTTAATCATTCTTTGACGGACATAAACAATATGAAACTAAAACACTTAGAAACAATTTATTAGGGCTGTCAAAAAAGCTCATTGTTCGCGAACACCTCATGTTCGGCTCGTTCATTAAGTAAAGGAGCCGAACACAAACAAGTTTTTAAAACTTGAATTCTAAACAAGTTGAACACGAACAGCTCTTTGTTCGCTTGTGTTCGGCTCACTTTAGCTCGAAATAAAAATATATATAATTATTTATATAATAATATATTATATATATTTATTTCTAAATTTAAATCATAACACCTCGTGCGGTAATGTGGTTAGTGCTTTCTTTTGCATACATTTGATCCAGGTTTGAATCCAACACTTGACATCTATTTTTTTCAATTTAATTTTAACAAGCCAATTTCGAGCCGAACAAGAGTCGAACACGAACACAAATATTTAAATCAAGTCGAACAAGAACACACTATTTACGAGTCAATTTCGAACACGAGCCGAATTTGAACACGAGCAGAACACGATCCAAACCTGAGCTCGCTCAAGCTCGGCTCGTTTACAGCCCTACAATTCATGGATAGCGACCCCATTTGGTGGAGCATACTATATGATGAAGAGTTTAGATATGAGATGATGACAATGTGTCTGTATTTTAATCAAGGCTTGAAATGTGTTAGAAGCTTGCTTATACAAACTCTTTTATGATACATTTGTTATAGTATTGTTAATCCATTCATAAAATTGTTCCATGGCTATCATTGAGCTTTATGAAAGATACGAATTCATATTCATGATAATGATAGCAGTTGCTCATAGAGATATGAGCTAAAAGCTTGAAAGCTGTCAATACCTACATGAGTAAACAAACAAAAGTATGAGATATAGAATATTTCATGTAATATCTTCAGAGTTTAAACTATTAATGATCGAGGTCCAATTTTTTCATGTTATAGACCACAAATATTTCATATCACATGCCTGGATTTTATACAACATTAGGACATTGCTAGCTTAACCATTACTCTAATATTTTATAATACTATTCAGCCGACCACTACAAACAAATATATGCGGCATAGTTTTATATAACTTCACATAATTGAGCCTCATTTATTATCATCCTTTCGAACAAGAGTTGACTTCAATTTTTTGAAGGGACCGAGCATATACATAGACATACATGCCACTCAAATAGCTTCAATGGACAATTTTCTATGAATCACACTTAGAGTACGATGTTGTTGCGTGTTAGATGTACATTCACACTTTTAATTTAATCATATTACTTTGTTTTTGTTGTTTCACATATCTGTCTACGAGGTGCATCTTTATTTTATACCATTGCTAGAGGATCTATAAACTTTCTTAGGATTTGGGCAACGCAGCATTAGACCACCTATATCAGGAGTTGATATTTGTTATAAAATTAAGATTTATGAATATGACAAGGTGCCTACATCTATTATAAATTTATAGTTATGAGCATTTACGTATTAGTCGGCTCACTCTGTCCCCTATCCAAGAGAGTTGGATGAAAAGAGCTTAAGGTTCAAGTAAATTCCCTTGCTTTGTTTTGAAAAAAACAAAAAAAAAGATTCTTACAGTTACAGTAATATTTAATTATATGTGGAATGAGCAACACTTGAGAGAGATGTTGAGGCTAGTAGATGTGTTTACAAGGATGACATGACGGTTACTAAAAATCTAGGTAAGCATTAAGTACTAGCTCACTAATATATTCATTATTAGGCAAAATATTTGGCAAGCGCATTTTCATTAATCATCTAACAATTTGTTAAATAACACCTACCTAATCGCATCATAAAATAATTTAGTGAAGTTTAAAGCATTGACAAGCAGCTAATAAAGATTGTCTTCATGAGAATGGATAGCACAAAGTAGACATATTTGAATTGGTTAGACTAACATTAAACATACATGAAAATGAAGGAAAAAATGCAAACCTTCGTTATTAACCATGACCATGGTGAGATGGAAACGGATCGAGCACATCGACTATAACTATTAGTATAGATATTGGACTTTTCTAAATTTACTTGAAGTTCCAAATGAGACTCTGACTCCGCACTATTTGAGAGCACTCATAAAGAGATATTGATATGTAACTAACTAAAATTAATATTTTTTACAAGCTCCTAATATAAGTAACTAACTAAACATGGTGCTGCTACAAGCTCCTAATATTATTTCGATTGAACTAACCTTTCGAAGTACAGATAAAGTTTACTTGGAGGAGCAGATTGCAGCCAACAAAGCACATCCTCATCCTCATCCTCATCCTCAGGCATCTCTCCAAATCTCCTCCAAACTGACGCAAGGTAGCCATCCATTTTTTTTTTTTATCTATATTTTTATTTTCTTTTATTTTAACAGGATGCTCTTCTTTGTCCCTTTCCTTCTCCTGTTCATAATATCGGAATGCTGCTCATCTTCGATTCTATGGAGTGTGGAAGGCGATGAGTTTTCTGCTTTGAGATAAGTAAAGGCCATGCACTTCTGGCTTTCCAGTTTCCTTCGGTATCGATTGAGCTGCACTTTATTACTTTGTGGGGTTCTCTGCCTTATTTTGGGGCATTTACATAAATACCACCCAAGTCCTACGTATTTGCATATCTATCACCTAAATTTTATGATTTACAATTTACAGCCCAAAGCTTCCATATCACATTAAAAATATCACCTTTTTAACATCTACAAAGTGAAATACACCTTTCCATACATAGATAAGGTTGCATTTCTGTAAAAAATTTAATTTAGGCATACATAGATAAGGTTGCATTTCTGTAAAAAATTTAAATTTAGGCCTTAGATATGTAAATACATAAGAATTGAGTGGTATGTATGTAAATCTTCCGATTGATTAAATATTAATTGAGACTCCTTCATTCTAACAGTTTGGAAGATTCCAACAATTCCTAAATCTAAGCCTTCTCTTTCATGTCTTTAGTGGAAAGACCACTTTGATTACTCCCAACCATCTTTACAAACTTCTTGCAAGCCTTGTCCCACTATATATATAAGGAACTCAACTAGCTCAAGCAAGCATATTTTAATTCAAAATAAAATATAAAAAAATAAAAAAATAAATGTGATTGGTCTCTTTGATTCTACGACTTTCACCATTGAAAACTTATCTTAACCATTTTTAGTGGCCTTGAAATTCTTCAAGTTGTGTCATATTCCCTTATTATAAGAGGATTATCCCACCTGCAGGAAGATTCACAATGGTTGAGTGATTATTTAACATCTTAATATTGTATGAATACCTAACACACTCAA